GCCTGCCACCACCAGGGACCTTGTCGAGCACCATGGTGACTATCTCATTCTCGCTTCCAATCTTGCGAAAGCTGTGAACCCTTCTGCTTAGATGAGAGTTCCAGTAATTTTTTATCTCATTATCTGTTCTTCCAGGAAGATGTCCTGCTATCTGTGACCACCTACAAAATTACAGCACAAATAATAATTATAATAAACAACAACAACAACGACAACAAGAGACTGATTATATATATATATATGAGAATAATGGAGGTGAGCTTGGCAGCTCACTTCTCCCCATGAGCTGCAAGTATATGACATGTGAGCCCCACACCGATGTGACTAATAGGGGGCTTACATGTCATACACTTGCAGCTCACGGGGGAGGTGAGCTGCCAGCTCACCTCCATTATTCTCTCTCTTATCTCTTCACTCTCTCTACTAGTACCGGTGAATATATATTTATTATATTAATATATACGTATACTTGCAGATTAATTATAAATATGTATATTATATATATTATATATTATTAGGTAATATGTGTAACTAATATCTATATTTTAGATGAGAGATGAGATGAGAGAGAGAGAGATTAATAGATATCCTTGTCATAGGAGGAGATTTCTTCCTTGACGCCTATGTGGCACAATCCTCACCATCCTGATAAAGTAGGAGAGAGAGTGTGAGTTGGTGGGGATTTGTGCCTATGCTATAAATATATGTTTTTAATAATACTATTTAGAGAATATTAGGTAGGCTGACAACCTATTTTGCAAAATGGGTTGCCGAGCCACTAACTTGTGAGATATTGTTCTGAACCAATCTGACTAACAGAGGGCTCAAAAGTCCCTATCTATTGACAGCTCATTTTCTGAATGAGTTGTCGGTATATTCTTATCATTTCCTACAATTTATAGAGCAAACAAGTGAATATAAGAATATATTTGTATGTCATCTTCAGCCGAAATAAGTATTTCTCCTTTATCAAATATGGTTGCACGTTTCTCCTGAAATGGTCTTGTTAACTTCTAGGGTACTCTACTTCACATCCAAAAGACTATTCAACCTTTAGGGCCTGTTTGGATTTGTAGGGGGTGAAGGGAAGTTAAGGGAAACTGAGTGAAGGGAAGGAAAGGGAAGGGAAGGGAATTCCCTTCCCCTTGGTTACACCCCAATTTGGGGGGTAACGATTTTTATACTATTAGGGGGTGAACCAAGGGGAACTAGGGTGAATTAACTTCACCTCCTAAGTGTTCCCAAACAAGGTGAATGGAGGTGAATGGTTCCCCTAACTTCCCTTCACCCTCATTTCCCTCAATCCAAACAAGCCCTTAGTTTTGCAGTTAATGTGTTCAATTCCACCCACTCAGAAGTTTGTTTCCTTTCTCTACACAAAATCGTGATTCCTTACTGGCTTAAAAGCACAATAATGGGAGGCATGGGTATTTTGCCGGCGCCTTGTATACTTTGCATAAAAGTATAGGATAAGTATTATATAATATCCTTTTAGCTTAATTAATTATTGACGGCCTATACATTAGTGGATAATGAAGCCGGAATCTCGCTCGTACTTAATTTTTGCATCGCTGTTTGGCACTGAACTTACTCTCAAATGGTTACGTAACTAAGTAGTTAATTGTATGCATTTGATGAGTATGACGCGTTTTAATGCGAATAGATTTGCGTACTTTTCGCTAGCAAAAAGTAGTGAAAAGAACCACTAGTTCTAATTTAAACAATTAATTGTTTAATAGATGACTGTGAGACGTGAGATTGTGGTGCATTACAAATACAATTTGGAGAACAAATAATGAGGAATTTCTTCAAAATGGAGAAACAATAGTCATATTCTTCAAATTATTTTTACACAAACTCTAACAGCTTCCTCATTTTGAAGAATCTTTTTTTCCTCCAAAAATTTGGAGAATGCTGCAGATTTGGGGAAGCTTCCCTATTTTTTCTCCTCCGTCCCTATTTTGGGGAATGAGATGGGGAATGTGTTGGATTAAAAACCTAACTATATTCTCCAAAAGTGAAAAATGGGGAAGCTGTTGGAGATGCTCTAAGAGCATCTCCAACAGCTTCTCCAAAATTTTCTCTAAAATGGGGAAGCAAATGTCATATTCTTCAACTAATTTTTACACCAACTCCAACAGCTTCCCCATTTTGAAGAATCTATTTTTTTTCTCCAAAATTTTGGAGAATGCTGCAGATTTGGGGAAGCTTCCCCATTTTTTTTTCCTCCATCCCTATTTTGGGGAATGAGATGGGAAATCTGTTGGGCCAAAAACCTAACTAAATTCTCCAAAAGTGAGAAATGAGGAAGCTGTTGGAGATGCTCTAATACATCAGACCAACAGGTGGTACTTCAAGAGATGTCAAGCTCACTAGGAAGAGAGCTGAAAAATATGCCAACGTCCTCGTCTAGAAACACTTATATCGTATCCTAATAAATTGCACTCATTCATGCTACACAAGAGAATACATCGCAAC